CGAAGAAATAATCATCTTATTTTTTGCGTATTTTCATAAATAAATGGCGATATATTCATAATACAGTAGAACCATAGCATATTTCATTTGTTTTGTTGAAGAAATTTCCCTGAAAAATGAAAAAAAGTAAATTTTAGCTACTTTTAAAGGCATTCTTATGTTTGTTTGCACTTTTTCTACCAAATCTCTTTATTGCACTCTAATAAGAAGATAAAAATTCAAAGAGGCCGAAAAGATGTTCAATTAACTGTTAATAAAATAACATGGAAAAATCGAACGTTCGCGACCCGTACGTTCGCGACCGGTACTTAATTCAATAAAAAAAAAACAAATGAAGATATTTCCTTGGAAACGCACGATAGAAAGCTACATGAATCCATTTTAAAAGTAAAGTTATTGCTTTAGAATATTCCGTCCCAATTCGCAGATCGTTGCACTTTTTTATATTAATCCAATGTCGACTTCAATTTTGTGTACGTTCGCTACCGCAAGTTTTTTGCTAATATTATGAAAATGATACCTCAATAAGCCCCATTATTGACACTAAGCAAAAAGCTAACAAAATGCTATCAAACAGCAAAAAAAAATTTTGAAAACGTTTTTTTTCGTTTTTTTTTTATTTGCTCTAAGTGCGTAAAAACGTACGTTCGCGACCCCTGGTCGGAGCTGGCGAGCAACTTCGATGGCTTGTTCGTACACATGTAAGGCGTTCATTATGTCTTGTGAAGTATCGGTTCCTGGTTGTGCCTTTTATAGAGGAATCGGGGTAGTTCTGATAACGTGTTCCACTCATCATGTGATCGGGACCTTCTATCAATTCGAGCAATCCTGCAGCTCTGAGTTTATCGCCTTTTGGAGTCGTCGGATTACGTTCAGGGGTTTAGGCGACATACAGGCCTTTAGCATGGAATACCCCGACACTTTTCCCCACTGCATTGCCCAGCTCAAATAGCGCTTTGCCCTTACGCTGGAGTACAAAACAGCGATTTCGATTCGGACCAAGCTTGGTATTATATCCATCAGCTTTGTTACTACGCCTGTAGTTTTTCCAATAGACAACTTGTCTCGCGGAAAATTCCACGATCTCCCTACGGGTGATTAATGCCTTTTCCGCGAGTTCATGAGTTTGGTTTAGTCCCTGGGATGAGTTCCATCTTATCCGGGAGGCTTATTTGCGGATCTCCTGTCTGTTTTCCCCCCAATTTCTGTAAGATTGGATATGCTGTTCCATGGGTAATCCTTCGCGTCCCGAACCTGGCATAATACGGTTCCATGTCTATCGACTCGTGCATGCCATTCCTAAGGGCACACTCTGTTCGACTAAGTATCCCAATGTCGCTGATCGGTGGCAATTGTTGCTCGCAGAATTTGGAGCACCGATCGGTTTACCCTCTCAGCCGCTTTTACTTTACGTGTCGAATACCATATCATTAGCTCGCCAAAAATTTGAGACACAAATGTTTTCCGTTGTCAGGATGTATGAACTCGGGAACCCTATACTGATGAAACATTTTGGTCTAGAGGAATTTTATGACCTCGAAGACCAAACATCTTTGGAGAAGTTGTCCAGGCATACAAAAATCACCGAGTTCCCAGCTTTGGTTCTCGGATATGGTGCCATAAAGTCGATGAACAACCTCTGGCCAGCCCGTTACGTGACTCGCAGTTCTCCCATGGTTGGTCGGTCTTTTTTTTGCCGGTCTTGGTGACTTTACAGACCTCGCACTCCTTCAATACTTTTTGTTCATCTACCGCCAACCCTGGCCAATAGTAAAACTTCATCATTTTGGCTAGTGATTTGTGCAAACCCCCATGCCCTGCGGTTATGGCATGATGTGCTCTTCAGACTAAATCGGTGCGCAGCTTGGCGGAAACCCAGAGCTTCAATGTTCGGGCTTCATCAACGGCGTCGTGTAGGCAGAGTCCCATCCGTTTGTAGACATAGCCTTCCGATGTTTGAAGGTCTGGACATTTTCCTAAATCTTGGTCCACCGCCTGAACTAGTTTGATGTAATTTGACGATTGGAACGCCATCGAGTCGAGTTTGATGTATATGTCAATTTCTTCCGCGCCAGCCTTGTGCAGCTCATCCATATGAACTTGTAAGAGAGCATCTGGAACTACATTGCGTGATCCTTTCCTGTGTTCTATGGTGAAGTCGAACGCTTGTGGCTTTACAATCCATCGCGCTAACCTACGTCTTTTTGACCCATCAGTTATACCTTTCTAAGGACATATAGCACAAGCCTGTAGCTTAAGTAGTTCGCAAGCTACGGGTGTACAACATTTAGGTATTTAAAGCTGTTTTCTCGCCAAACTAGTCATTTTTTCCAAAAGTGGTAGATCTAATGTTTCTTATATTGAGCTGTTTAACATCGTTTTGAGTTTTCCGGACCCTACAATAACGTTTGGGGACAAATTGCCAAGCGGACAAACTGACAAACAAAAAAAATTTTCATTTTGAGAAGTACCCCAAAATCTTGTTTTGGGTATTACTTTTGAACGAAGCATGAAATTTTCATTGGACGCCTATTTGAGAATACAACTGTGTCAGACTGTGTCAGACTGTGTCAGACTATGTCAGACTGTGTCAGTCTGTGTCAGACTTTAAGTCAACTTCAACAACTAAAAAAACTTTCGACTCATCACTGTGGACGACAGGCCACGTAGTGACGAAGCGCCCCAGGAGGGTGTGCGAAGGCGACTACTATATATATACGAGGAATTAAAAATCTACTGTGATCGTCAGATTGTTACGAGTGATAACTCAATTGAAAGGTATTGCAAAAACTAAAAGGATTGCATACCAAGACTTTAAAAGAACCAATTTGCTTGGGAGAAAGAGCGGTAAAAGTGTAAAAGTGTAAACACCCCCGCGTAAATTCGCGTCCATTGTAAATCGGATGCTCCGTTCAAAAGTAGTACCCAAAACAAATTTTGTGGGGGACTTCTCAAAATAAAAATTTGTTTTTAGTTTGTCAGTTTGTCCGCTTGGCAATTTGTCCCAAAACGTTATTGTAGGGTGCTGAAAACTCTAGACGATGTTAAACAGCTCAATATAAGAGTCATTAGATCTACCACTTTTGGAAAAAATTACTAGCTTGGCGAGAAAACAGCTATAAATACCTCAACGTTATACACCCGTAACTTGCGAATTACTTAAGCTACAGGCTTGTGCAATATGTCGTTAGAAAGGTATTTTGAAGTACTTTGTTTTACCACCATTTACTAAATATGGGAAAAAGTTTTTTTATTCAGACTTTTTAAGCTTTCTTTCTGAATATGCATACTCTACCTTAACTGAAAGTGCTCGCTGCATTAAATACGAGCTTAAATTAATTGACTATTCGGAAATTATAATTAGAGCAGCACAAAAATATAATTTAACAATTCACTCTATAACAAACCAACGACCTTTTGATATATTATTTAAATAAATCAAACGTGATCTAACTTCAAAATTTTTGAAACATGCTTAAGAGAAAATGTTACATTTGTTACATTACACGTAGGAAAAGTAATCTACGATAAGAAACACGGAGAAAGACACAAGCTAAATTTTAGATATAAAAAACAAGTAGTTAAGGAAAACATTCCTAATAAAGTTATTATAAATAACAGAAACCGTACGATTCATAAAGATAATATTAATTAATTTGTCTAAAATTCCAGATAATGATTTCAATAATGTACTTATTATTGCTGGTAGCCAAACCAAACAACCAAATCAGAAATCAAGGATACCAAAGAGGTTCTTATTTATGAATCATACGCAGAATTATTTCATATACTAATAAAAGTTTGAAAAATTTATGTATTTAATACTAAAATTCTGAACAATGAAGACATTCTAGAAATTTATAAACATGAACCAAATCCTGTAATTATAACTGACCTATTGGATATATCTGAATTTAAATTCGCTTTGCACCAAGATCTTATAATAATGTACATAAAATTCCCTATTATTACCGATAGTTGTGACGTTTACAATTTATTATCCATTTCGCATAACGATGGAAAATTATTAATTGATAACCACGTCTTGAAGTTCAAATAAGTATTACGTAATGTCTAATTTTAAGAAAGAAATATTTAATAATTACGTAATGGTAATTTAAAGAAGAAATATTTAATAATTAGTGCACAAAACACCCTGAAGGTTCTTGTTAAGCCAGATAAACAAATGGAAGTCGCCATAACAAGATATAGGTGAAAAGTGACTAAGTATAAACGGCCAAAAGAGACAAACAAATTAAATTATTTTGTCTTAGACCTGCGCATTTTTAAACAGCAATTCACAACAATGCACAAACAAAAAACTCACTTTTTTAAAACATTTTCTTCTACGAGGTGTTAAAAAAAAACGCGCGACTAGAAATATAAATGAAGTCGACCTGAAGAAAACGAATTTCCTGCAAAATTCGTGCAATGTTTTTGTTTTTTTTCAAAATTCTAAATGATAGGCAATGGTGGTCATTTGGGGGTCAAATGCCACTACAAAAGAAGTTTGATAATGTAAATTTTTTAATTTTTGAAATTGGACAAAAAGGAAACAGCGGCAAAATTTTTAAAGCTTTTATTTTTTTTTAAATTCTACAAGGGTGTCAATTGTGGTCAAAGAGTAGTCAACCGATTCCACAACAAAAATATAAAAAAAGATATATTTTCCATTTTTGAAAAAGTGTCATATTTTTTAAAGTTTCAAACGTTTTAAAATATTTAAAACGGGCTATTATGTCATTTGGAGGTCAAACGATTCTCGTTATCAAAATTTAAGTTTTACCCGGCCAGGCTTAATGAGCTCCAGTAAGAACATACAAAATATTTTTGACTTGGTCGTATGTTTAAGATACAAATGTTACTCCATTTACAATTCAGAATTACCCTACCAACAATCAGTGCAATCAATAAAATGATAGTTTAGCTTAATAACGGACCCTAATGTACATGGTGCAACTCGTAGAAAATCATTAATAATCTATTACTTTATTACAAAGGAATCGAGTACAGGGACACGTTCACGGAGTGCAACGCCAGACTCACTAGATTCTATAAAGGTCGATGAAGTTTGGACAAACAGTTCTATGTAAGATAGTTTTAATTTTGCACATGACTTTAAACTAATAATTTATTTTAATAGACCAAGTTTTGTAAGTAATTTCGAAAACATTAGTGAAACTAATTGTAGCAGTGGAGAACAATCAAAAGGAAAATACTTGAAACAAAACTTACAACGAACACCCAGCGCGCCGCTTAAAAGTACCACCTACGCGGACATATTTCGAGGCTCCCATGCCCGATGTGATATCCCTTTGTATTCAACGCATGGTGTGGAGTTGCTGGGGTATTCTCGGATTGGAACCATACATTTGCCACGAAACCGATCAAGCTCAGATCCATTTTGCTCAGTTGGGTGAGTACTCTAATTTTTGTTTGTCGGTAAATACATATTAAAATGTTTTTATATTTTCAGGCAAGCACGTAAAATGTTATTGCGGGATTCGCGGAGTGAAAATAAAACATTATGTCGTCAAGAACTACTAAACTCAGAACAGCAGTCTGTACGACTTTCTCCCATGCCTTATGATGGCCTCAGTTTTGAAAGCATTTCTCGAGATACCTCTGGTCTTGATTGCGGTGAAACTCTAGATGATCATAATACTTCTTTAAAACTATTCACAGAGATATTTTTATTAAGCCAAATTGACCTTAAACGCTTACAGGCAGTACTTTGGTTAGAATTGGCCACAATATTTGATCGTTATGAAGTGAGTTTGGATAAAAGGAAGCCGTTTAAGCGTCGCCGCAAAGAGGAGGGTAATCTCTTTGGTGTATCTTTAAATGCACTTATACGTCGGGACCAACAAGTTACTGGCACTGACTCTACGTTAGTTCCACAATTTTTGGAAAAACTGCTAACCGAACTTTTGCACCGCGGCTCTAGAGAAGAAGGAATACTACGTATAGGTGGACACAAGCAAAAGGTTATAAAGATGTTAAAGAAAAATAGTTTTCTAAATCTAATTTAATTTATTTTCAGACTGAAGTACTTTATAAAGAATTAGACTCAACCTTTTATCAAAAACCCGAAAAGTCAGCTCATCTGCTTGGAACAGCTACGGTTCACGAACTAGGCGGTCTGCTAAAGCGCTGGTTGCGTGAACTTCCCCAACCTTTACTTTCTACCGAACTTATACAATTATTTTATCAATGTCACAGACTTCCATCCATGGATCAAAGAAATGCATTAACGATTGTATGTCAACTACTGCCACCTGAAAATAGGAACACATTGCGTTCTCTGTTAAGATTTTTAAACAATATTATTGACTTGAAAGATATAAACAAAATGGACCTGCATAACGTATCTACAATAATTGCTCCATCATTTTTTCCACCACGATTTATTCACCCGAGTGACAGAACCAGCATTGCTGAGCAAGTAAAAGTGGCTGCACATTGTTGCCGTTTGACGAAAGTTTTAATCTTGCATGGTGATAAACTTTTTCGAGTACCAAATAATCTAATTATAGAATCCAAGACTAAGAAAACGAGAATGGTATGTTTTGAGCTTGATTTATAATTTCAGTTTAAGGACATTGTGTTTTTATAGGCTAAAAAAGAATGGCTTCGGCGAGATAGTCTCAATAAATGAAAGAACACCTAATACAATTCGAATCAATACCTGTAATGCAGCGGTCGGCAGCTCAGCCTCAGCGGGACACGTACATCGTAGAACAGCAGCCGCCCCACACACAACGATAAGCTGTCCCGTGCAACTTACTCAGACATTTAAAGAATAAAATGTCATGGCATTTCGTGCCGGCCACTGCTTTATTGGCAACGGTCCTGTCATTGCAGCTATTAATAAAAATTAAAGTAATTCACAACAGGTGTATTTTATTGTTGCAAACGATGCCTAAATTGTACTTCAATTTTGGATTTGCGGAATTTAATACCTCGATAGGTACAAATTTCAGTTCAAGTAAATGGTAAAAGTAAAGTCTCCCACAAAGTCTGGTTTTATTTTCTTGTATGACAAAACTTGGTTAAAACATTTTTGACAGATCTGATATGAACTTTATTTCCATATTGCCCCGATAGAGCCCGAGGTCTTTAGGTAAGGAATGCAACATGAATCAAGTCAAATCTTAAAAAAAATTGTTTAAAACCGTGAACTTTGTAAACGTTTAAAATTTTAACTGCTAAAAAATAATTATAAGTGATCACGATGTTTTTAAATTTAATTAGGCTTAATGTAAAGTAACTAAAACTGCTAAAAAAGGAAAATAAAGTTTGATTACATAATTCCCGTTACTCGTACAGCAAAAGGGTAAATTAAATTTGTCGGAAGGTATGTAACAGCTAGAAGGAAGAGTTTCCTACCCCATAAAGAATATATATTATTGATTGCGATCACTAGTCGAGTCGATCTAGTCGTGTCAGTCTGTATGAACGCTGAAATCTCGGACTTCCTCGGGCCACAAACGACCGTCACGCTAAAACTTTTCTGAAATGTAAATTGAATTTTGTTCTTATTATCAATACCCGTTTTCATTCCAAAAATAATTCAAATCGGACCATTCATTAAAAAGTTATAGGCAAATACGATAGGTGGCATGTTTTTGAGGTGAGCAATCTCGGAAACAGCCGATTTGCTGCATGCAAATCTCCATCTCTCCCGCATTCCCTTTAGCTGAGTAAAGGGTATCTTAATAAAAGGGTATGCTAGATTCGAAAGAGTTTTCGATCTCAAAAGTGAGCCAAGAGTCTTCTCGGTTTGCGAACGGAATTTTCAACATCGAATCGATCTCGATTTCAAGAAGAACCGTTTTCGGTTTCAATATCGCATCGATCTCGATTTCGAGAAGAACAGTTCTTGGTTTCAACATCACATCGATCTCGCTCCCAGAATCCATTCTCAATAAAAATACTAAATTATTTCAACCTTTACTTTCTACCGAACTTATACAATTATTTTATCAATGTCACAGACTTCCATCCATGGATCAAAGAAATGCATTAACGATTGTATGTCAACTACTGCCACCTGAAAATAGGAACACATTGCGTTCTCTGTTAAGATTTTTAAACAATATTATTGACTTGAAAGATATAAACAAAATGGACCTGCATAACGTATCTACAATAATTGCTCCATCATTTTTTCCACCACGATTTATTCACCCGAGTGACAGAACCAGCATTGCTGAGCAAGTAAAAGTGGCTGCACATTGTTGCCGTTTGACGAAAGTTTTAATCTTGCATGGTGATAAACTTTTTCGAGTACCAAATAATCTAATTATAGAATCCAAGACTAAGAAAACGAGAATGGTATGTTTTGATCTTGATTTATAATTTCAGTTTAAGGACATTGTGTTTTTATAGGCTAAAAAAGAATGGCTTCGGCGAGATAGTCTCAATAAATGAAAGAACACCTAATACAATTCGAATCAATACCTGTAATGCAGCGGTCGGCAGCTCAGCCTCAGCGGGACACGTACATCGTAGAACAGCAGCCGTCCCACACACAACAATAAGCTGTCCCGTGCAACTTACTCACACATTTAAAGAATAAAATGTCATGGCATTTCGTGCCGGCCACTGCTTTATTGGCAACGGTCCTGTCATTGCAGCTATTAATAAAAATTAAAGTAATTCACAACAGGTGTATTTTATTGTTGCAAACGATGCCTAAATTGTACTTCAGTTTTGAAATTGCCGAATTTTTTTAGAAAAACAAGAATGCACGAAATGCATAATTTTCGTATTTAATACCTCGATAGGTACAAATTTCAGTTCAAGTAAATGGTAAAAGTAAAGTCTCCCACAAAGTCTGGTTTTATTTTCTTGTATGACAAAACTTGGTTAAAACATTTTTGACAGATCTGATATGAACTTTATTTCCATATTGCCCCGATAGAGCCCGACGTCTTTAGGTAAGGAATGCAACATGAATCAAGTCAAATCTTAAAAAAAATTGTTTAAAACCGTGAACTTTGTAAACGTTTAAAATTTTAACTGCTAAAAAATAATTATAAGTGATCCCGATGTTCTTAAATTTAATTAGGTTTAATGTAAAGTAACTTAAACGGCTCAAAAAGGAAAATAAAGTTTGATTACATAATACCCGTTACTCGTGCATTCAAGAAAGCTGCCCAGTGGATTGTGTGGCAACCGTACCTTAGTAGGCGAAACGCCAAAAAGGACAAATACGGACCACCGCGCCGATAAACACAAGTACACAAAAAAGAAAAACAAAGAAAATATTAAAAAAAAAAAAAAGAAACGATCAACCCACAAAACGATGAGTCCCATACAATTTTTTTAATAAACCAAAAAAAGAAACAAATACTAATTATAATTTAATTTCAGAATAATAACCCTGTAAGAAGAGAAAACGGAGTACAACCAAAAGACAAACAAAACAAGGAGGAAAATAATAAGGGTGAGTGAAACGTTTTTGCATAAGTTTCCCTTGTTACCAAAAAGAGAACAAAAAAATAAATTTTCAAAATTTCCAAAATAAAAATAAATACTTGAAATCCCAATAAATTAAGCACTTGAAATTATTGACATTAAATTACCAAAAAGAGAACAAAAAAATAAATTTTCAAAAAAACCTGTTGCTTATTTCCCCACATCGGCCCAAAATAAAAATAAACACTTGAAATCCCAATAAATTAAGCACTTGAAATTATTGATATTAAAAATAGAGGAAATGAAGGAGGTACTAAACCGACTTGACTCCGCCATTGCGGCCCGAACCACTCAGATGGTGGGCATGAAAGACTAGGTTAAGAAAATAGGGAATAGGGAGAGAACTTTAGGAACTACCATTAACGCGTCCGCGTACGGAGTATGAATTAAAAGAATCTTCGACCGTGCCGGATTGCGTAAGGGAATTACTGACCTTCGAGGGTGATTCCGAGAAGTACATTTCTTGGATCAATAGGTCATTCGGGAGAAACCCCTATATAGGTCAGTCCTTATCCAGATTAGCCAGAAAATTAGGGGCAACGCCGACATGACGCTCAATGCCTACAATGTACGGGATGACGACTGGCCTGAAATCAAACGAGTATTGGCACTACACTTCGCCGATAAAAGAGATGTCGGTACGCTAGAGTACGAGCCGACACAAATGTCCCAGGGAAACCAAAAGGTGGAAGATTTTTACCTTAGGATTAATAATTATGTCTCACTAATAATGAATAAAATAAAAAGCATGAATTACTCTACGGAGATAACGAATGCTTTCCTTGCCGGACAAAGGGACAAGGCTCTTAGTGCCTTTATTAGGGGATTAAACGGCGACGCTTCCAGGCTTCTAATAATCCGTAAGCCTGCGGACGTCCACGAAGCTTACTCTATTTGCCTAGAGCTACAGAAAATGGAGCCGAGGAACCCTACGTCAAGGGCGCGTCTATTTAAACAAACCTTTAACTAAACCTATCAGAACTATAGACCACCTAACCCACCGAGGTTCCCCAGACCTATCAGTTTAACAATAGGGCCCAAAAGAGTTCACGGCACAACTTTGCTCCAAGTGGAAGCGTGCAGGGCTCTCCAAGATTCCAGCGATTAAACAAGAATCAAACCAATCAGGTCAAAGCTATAGGACAAATTTTAACTCGCGTGAAGGAGAGACCGGCGGCATCAAGAGCCCGAGCGCTAACTCTAATTTGAATCCCTTCCTTAAAGCCCAAAGGCTTTACCATATTCAATCCACCACATCATCAAACCCCACTCCCAATGAATACTATGAACGGCATCCCAATAACGAGGTAGAGGAACTGGAGGTCTCATCCCAAGGGATAGAACATTGTTCTCCCTTGGAGGAAGTAGGGTGTATTAGCGGTGGCGAACCAAATTTAATGACCGACGCCTCTCTAGCATACCATAAATAGAATATGAAACTAAAAAAGGGGCTAAATTACAATTTCTCATAGACACCGGCGCTAACAATAATTTTATTAGCCTCAAGAATTCCGCCGGCTGTACAACATTATCCACGCCATTTGTCGTTCAATCCGCGGGGGGTAATATTAAAATAACGCACCGTATTACTGGACAATTTGGTAACGATACTGTTCTCATCTTTTTTGTTCTTCCCGGACTAAAATCATTTGACGGCATTATAGGAGACGACACCCTAAAAACCTTAAAGGCCCTGATAGACAGAAAAAACGATATCTTTACAATATCAACATGTATCAAAATACCCCTCCTTGCAAAAAAATCTCTAAATGTACATCTGTTATTAGATGCAAAACACCCCGAATCTGCAAAATAAGCTTTAAACGCGCTTATCAGCGAATATTTCAAAATCTTTGAACCACTCTCGCCCGGAGAGGCCGTAGACACGAGCGTTAGGCCCGAGATTCGCACCAGCACCTCAGACCCCATATACACAAAGAGCTATCCCTACCCTACCAATATGAGAGGGGAAGTGGATAGACAGATAGAGGAACTTTTGCGGGATGAGATCATCAAACCATCAAAAAGTCCCTATTACTCCCCGGTCTGGGTAGTTCCAAAGAAACCCAAAAACTAATGGAGAGAAACAATACCGCATGTTCATCGACTTTAAGCGCTTAAACGCTGTCACGATTGCAGACACTTATCCAATACCGGACATTAATTCTATTTTGGCCAGCCTAGGGATGGCCAAATATTTTACCACTCTCGACTTAACCTCGGGATTCCATCAAATTTACATGTTGGAATCCGATACCCCAAAGACAGCATTTTCTACACTGAATGGGAAGTACGAATTTCTTCGTCTTCCGTTTGGGTTGAAAAGTGCCCCAGCAGCATTTCAAAGAATGATCGACGATGTATTAAAGGAACACATTGGCAAGATTTGCTATGTGTACATCGACGACATAATAATCTTTAGTGAGGACTATGATAGCCACTGGTAAAACCTCCGCGCTGTCTTCAACAACCTGGAGAAAGCCAAACTGCAGGTCAACTTAGAAAAAACTAATTTCCTATCAACGCATGTT